TGATATTCACTGCCCATTCCAAAGTCTTTTCCATTTTTCCTGACAACTGTCAAATTGCTGCTTTTGCTGATAACCAATTCTTTGGTTTATTAAGCTTATACTCACTTGAAATAGAAATATCCAACAAGAGGCAAATGGTTCTTCAGTATTTCTTCTTGGCCTGTGTCAAGGTGTTTCTTCACAGGGGAGGTAGGAAGCAGGGGTGGTTTTAAAAGGCCAACAGCCTTGGAACCAAAGGCCTGTGGTCAGTCAGCTGGTGCCTCCCCTCTTCGGTTGGCAGGTCTGAGGTTGGTGCTTCTGCACTAGTCCCCTCCAGTGCATCCTAAGCCCTTCTGGGCCTCTGTCCCTTAACTCATCTGCCTGCCTAACTCAAATAGTGCCTGGGGTGGGAAGACTCCCAACTGCTCCCCCACCTTGGGAGCAACCCATCTAAGGCAGGCCAGGGCACCCCCCATGCACGGGATGAAAAAGGGCTCCAGTTCTGCTTCCATCGCACAAGGCTGCAGTATGCACAAGCTGCATCCCAGTGCTGGAAGGTTCCCCTTACAGTCACCCCTGAGTCACCTCTTGGAAGTTTGAGATTTCACTTCTCCAGTGCTGAAAACACAGAAGAACTTGGGCGACAGCATTCAGGACACTTAGTTCCTCCAAACACTGTGTCTCATTCAACAGTTATTAGGCTCTACTATGTGCCCTGAAGAAAGTAAGGACACTAAGCATGTGGGAAGGGTAAATGGCAAAGGCTACAGCAAGTGCAAAGACCTGAGGTGTGAAGAAAACTTTTTTAGCTCTTCACCCATTGTGAAGCCCCTGAAAATCATGGGTGTTATTTAAGATACTGGTACATGGCGGAAACATTTATGAATCTCTGCTTTAAGACATACTTCTTCAAGGCCTTGTTACTTTTTTAAAAAGTTTTTGTGCTGTTTCTTAAGTTACTCACATAGTACCCAAATACACTGTTCCTTCAGGGAAAAAAAAAATGCTTCTCATTCAACTCCTGGTCACAAAGTCCCTGTTTAGTTCACTACTTCCTCTTTCCCTTTATAGTTTCTGGCTTTTCCATCTTGCTTGGGTAGGCTGACATTACCCCAAAATTAGAAAATAAACTCTTCCACATTTGCTTCCAACAATTTTTTGACCTTTATATTTGAATTTTAAATCCAACCAGAATTTATTTAGGTATGTGGTATAAGGAGCAGATCTAACTTTAGCCAGGTGTTCCCATGCCATTAAGTGGTCTATTCCTTCCCCTACTAATTGGAATTACTTCCTATATCATATATTAGATTCCCATATACATCATGGCTGTTTTATTGACCATTTTACTATTTCTACTACAATGCCACACTATTTTAATTAGCACACTTTTATCACGTATTTGGATATCTGGGGGGACAAGTCCTTCCTTATCAAATATTCAAACAAGCTCATTAAGGATATTGGGGATTGAATGACTGAAATAGCACATAGTCCTGAATATTAATTTGCATACTAACACCTTCAAAGTCTTGAATCCTCCCATCAAAGAACAGAGGCACATTTTGGGGTGACTCCTTAGGAGCCCCTACACCACCAAGCCACATCGTGTTTCCTAGAGGAGAAAACTTGTATTCTGGGGCCGGGTTTGGCAAACTACAGCCCACTGCCTACATTTGTACAGCCTGTGAGCTAAGAATAGTATTTACACTTTTAAATAGCTGGGGGAAAAAATTCAGAAGAAGCATTAAAAAAAGAAGACAATTGTGACACGTGGGTATTATATGACAGCATCCATAAATAACTACTGGAACAGCCCCACCCATCATTTGCATATTATGGATGGCAGCTTTCACACCACAACAGTAGAGTTGAATAGCTGCAACAGAGACCACGTGGGCCAGAAAGACTAAAACACCTGCTATCTAGCCCTTCACAGAAATTGTGTGCTGGTCGGTTGGAGTATTGAGACAAAAAGGCAAAGGAATAGGGGAGGGTGAGTCCAAAAGGTTACCTTGGTAGGGGGACATTTCTGGAAGATCTGTTAGTACTTTTGACAAGAGGCAGTTTGGCTAGGGTTCTACGTTTTATGGTAATAAGTAGCTGATCTGGGAGCAGTGATGTTTGACACAGAGGAGAGCTATTATTATTTTATTTATTGTTTTAAACGCCAATGTTTCTTGCTGATTTGATTTATTTTCTTCCAGCTCCCAAGAGGAATTTGACCAGTTTGATGAAATTTCACTATGTCCAGTGCACAAAATGTGTTGCAAGAGAGGTGTGTCAGGGATGGTACACAAATTCCTTTCACCCTTTCTCTTGCTTAAGGAGGAAGCCACAACTTGCCAATGAGAAATTTAAAACAAATCCCCCAAAGTTTCATGTTTGGTTCAAAACGTGAGATATTTTAGGTCCTAGTTTATTATAATCTTGGCACCCACTCTTGCAGTCCCTGGTGAGAACCTAGGTGTGCTGTTGCTTGCTTTCTGGTTCACTGGGAGGGACGCACCTTGCCCTCTCAATCCCAGAGCCAAACATGACAAATATTTCCCTCCCGGGAATCTCACTTGTAAGGAAGGTTACTGTGCTTTTTGCTAAATAAAGCATCTCTGTTTAGTGGCCCTTTTCATTCTCAAGCTTACTGTACTTCATAAGCCTACAGCTGTGTTTGACATCAGCAATTTGTTAGAGACCACTTGTTTGTACAACAGAAAGAGAAATCAAAGTGCAGATGTCAGACCTCAGAAACCATACTTCTCTGAATTGTTTTCATTTTATTGTTTTGTTTAACCCTCACCCGAAGATATTTTTTCCATTGCTTTTCAGAGAGAGTGGGGGGGGGAGGGAGAGAAAGGGAGAGAGAGAAACATCGATGTAAAAGAGACACATCGAGACTGGCTGCCTCCTGCACGGGCCCCAGGGCCAGGGATCGAGCCTGCAACCAAGGTCTGTACCAGAATCAAACCTGGGACCCTTCAGTCCACGGACCAATGCTCTAATCACTGAGCCAAACCGGCTAGGGCCGAAATGTTTTCATTTTAGAAGGTGAGAGTGTGTGTGTGTGTTTTTTCCGGGTGGGGATGAACGTAATCATAGACATGTTACTGTGGCTAAGGAAAGATACTTATATCTCTCATCTTCTGTTTTATTAATTGCAAAATTAAAGGAAACTTTAGGACATAGTAAGTGAGTTATGGGGAATGAAAACACCAGGACACATTCCAGTTTAAGTTAAATAAGAATGGATCATGTCAAATCTTGGAGGAAAAAAAAACTGCAGCTTCATCATCAGTAGCAGAGAAGTAGCATCAGTAAAAGTTGGCAGTCAGCACTTGAGGAGTCTGTTTTCCTGACATACGATAAGTTAACATTAGGAAATACAAGTTACCATACCCAGACCTCACTAGTGTTATCAGAATTTGACCCTAGAGGCAGCCAACTTTACAAACATGGGCATTTCTAGTGGCCTAATCTTGTTTATAACTGTGATAGGCAGGCAAAGAACTCTGACAGAACCAGATAAGTGACATGAACTTGGGGAGTCATCATTCATTAGAAGGGGGTTGAGATACTATCAACAACGCCAGAGGGAGCGTGAGAGATGGGGTAACTGCTTTCCAACTTCAATTTTGGCACTTTAATCTCAAACTAAGGTGATGTGCAAAGCCCTCTGCATCCCCTGCAAAACAAGGCAGCCTAGCCTCTCTGAGACGGCCAGGGAGGCCACTGGGGACAGACGCCACTTTCCACCTGTTCTCTGCAAATAAGCTTGCAACCCACACCAGGGACCAATGAAAAGGAACGGCCATGGGTTCAGTGTCCCAGTCACTGGGATCAGTCAGTGGCATCAGGTGGAGTCTAGCCCTTGGCAGTGATCCCAAATTAAGTGTGGGGGGACTTTTTTTAAATGAGGGGGCCAATTAAGAAGATGGAGCCACGTAGCCATGCCCTCTAGTAGGGCATTCTGAACTTGGGGAAGCTACACGGTACTGGAGGAGCTACAAGGCTTCCCCTGGCCACACCCAGATGGGGAAAGAGAAAAATGTTTTTTGTCACTCGCATTAATAAGCTTTTTTAAAATATATTTTTTGTTTAAAAAGGGTGTTGTTGTTTTTAAATAGTGTCTTCTGAAAGGTCAAGATGTTGCATAACATGGCTTTTCAGTAGAGGAACCAGCCCCAAACATTAGCTCTTTTGGTTACTCTGACACAATCAGAAAGGAGGAGGCACACTGCCAGAGCCAGGTGGGATGCTGAAAGGACAGTGGCAAACATTTAGTGGCACTGCAGTGAGTCAGCACCATATTAAGGCTTTCCCTGTCCCACACTCAGGCCAGGATTCCCTGACCGGGAATCGAATCGCCATCTCTAGGATCCCAGGTCGATGCTCAACCATGCCTGGCCAGGCCCTTTTCTTTTTTAACATATTTTGCGGAATCAGATTAAAGAGCAACCAAATTTCACCCAGTCATAATGGCCAAACACAATGAGGACTCTGGGGCAGGCAAGGAGGGAGATTACTGAAGAGTGGAAAACCTAAACGAGCAACTTGTAGGACTACCTGCCATCCTGGTTTGCCCAGGACTGTGTTGGTTTCAGCACATTTTAGCCCCCCCACCCAATCCTAGAAACCCCTCAGCTCCAGGCAAACCAGGACAGACAGTCACCAAACTCACCTTTGAATCATGCCAAACAGCAAACTGACCCAGACCCCAGTGGCCAGCAAGTCCCAGGTGGGGCTCTGCCCCTCTCTTTGTCTGCTGCCCTCAGTCTCTGGTCCTGAGCTGGCTCTTTCTAACTTCAAGGGCATTATCTTACCACCTCTCCCTACCCCAGAATCTTCAGGCTTTAGGGGCCCCAAAACTCTGCAGGACTCTGTGGCTGTACTCCCCTCCCCACAGAAGCCAGAGGCCTGGTGGCTCTGCGGGAGGGGCACCTTGGGCTCCTAGTGTCCAGTGTCCTGGCTGCCCCACAGCCATCTGACCTGGGGAGGCTCAGAGGCATGCGCCCTACTCCGGTTTCATGGAGCCCCAGTCCAGCTGCGTGGTGGTGACCGGTAAGACTATTTTTCTGCTTTCCCATTTGAGGCTTTTAGCGTGACCCTGGAATGCGAAGCTGCCTGATTCTGGTCATAAACGGTTCTGTCATGGAGAAAAAAGGGGGGCTAATGGTGGTGACAGTAACTCCAGAAGGAAGCTAACTTTTAGCTCTGCCCTGTTATGAATGATCAGGGGATAGAGAAGCTTTTCTGCTCTGTCCTGCCATTTGCTTCAAATAACTCCTGAGTACTGTACACGTAAGCACCCACCTTAGGCTGAGGCTCAGACTTTGACCTGCAGCCCACTGGGGAGGAAGCTGAGGCTGATGTCTACTGTCCCTGAGTCTGAGGCCCAGTGGCCCAGGTGGCATCTGCTGGGGTGCAGTTTCATGTAAGGAAGGAGGAGCTGGGGTCCTAGAAAGGACAGGGCCTCATAAGGCTCAGACAACCCATCTACAGCAACCACCCCCAAAGGCACACCACTGACCCCCAAACTGGAGAGCTTTTGGCCACTCAGAAAACCCCAAGGCATCCCAGAGAGCCACCAGCTGGAGACACTGAACACAAAAGGCCACCTAGGAAGGAATGGGAGCCGCCCACTCCTGCTTTTCACCAGCACACCCCAAATCCACCCCAGCCCCTCAAGTTGTTGTCACGCCTGGTCCCCTGGAGGGTTTGATTTCTTTATGAAGCTCTTTGTTTTCACTTAGACACATCTGGCACATTTTAAGTTTTGGGGCCTGTGCTGGATGAAGGCACGTTGGAGAAACAAGGATTCCTCTGTCTGTGGCAAATTGAAAGTTACCTGTCTCGCCATTTTCAGACTATAATCAGACTCCTCTTAACCTTCTGAGAAAAGGAATGCTTTTTGAAAACCTTTTATCTCCCTTGGTCTCTGGCATTCTGGGTACAGAGACTGAGTGGTTCAAATTTCTCTTGAATTCCTAAGGAAACCATACCCGATACACAAATGATTGTTGCTTGTCACTACTGAAATATGAATATTGAAGCACAGGGCAAGTCTCAGACTCACATGGACCCCGGCCTGTCCTGTCGGCATGCCATTTGCTGGCAAACCCAAGGCTGTTTGCTGAAGTACCTGATTATCAGCTGTGGCTTCCGGAGTGTGGCCTGCCTTTATTAAAAATGCTGTGAGCTGCCAGGGGCATTCTTTTCATTTAATTGGATTTGCTTCGTGTGTAAATCTGGCCAAGACAATTGGCACAGAGACAGATGATGGGAAAACAAGGCTCTGACAAAGTGCCTCAAGATCAAGGGGTTCTCACTAGCACCAACAATACTAATGGGACACTGAGAAAACCACCACCCCTCCAAAGGGCCTCGCTTTAAGATTTCTCTAGCCCTTCTGTAAGTCCCACTCAAGGACTTACCAAGTTTAAAGTCTAAGGTTTGATCCTGCAGAACGAGAGCTTCAAGCCGTTATCGGCCCAGCTGTCTTTCCTAATTTAAAACAGATAAGAGGTGATCTGAATGTGGTTATGGGAACAGGATTCTGAGGCAGGGTGTTACTTTTGTGTGCATTGCTGCATTTTTAGAATTCCTACAGGAGCTACTTGGTATCTCAGCGATTTTTTCCTAATCTCAATATTTTCTATAACTTTTTGTTGTTGTTATTGTTGGCTGCTTGCAGTGGCAGCTACCGACTTACTCTGTAGGATTCAGCCAATGCCAGAGGACACCACTCACTTCCTGGTGCAGGGACATCCTATCTAGACTCCATCCCTGAAAGAGGTTAACTCCCTCCTGAACCACACTTGTCAGTGGTTAGACTCGGAGGTTAGACCTTCAGAGGTACAGACTTTCCAGAACTGACTCCTACTCTACAGGCCTGTGGTCCAGGGTGCTGGGGTTTCAGAGACTGATAGCTCATCACAAATCTTCTCCATCTCAGAATTTGTATGAAATTGAGACATATGTTCTCAGGAATCAGAGAGATGGAACTAAAAAATCTGGTGTGTTCCTGCTTGGCTTCTCCACAATGCCTCACATAAGAGAACTCTGGAGATACTCCCAGACTGGCAAGGTCATAGTCCTCCAAGGAAGGGGATGTGTGGAGTTTCAGGGGGCCAATGATAGCTCTAGGAGACACAGGAAGTTCTCACAGGGTGGGGGGCAGGGAGCAGCCCAGGAGTAGGGACCCCCAAATCTCCCCCAGGCCTGGCCTGAGAAAATCAGAATCTCTTTGGTTTCAGGTTTTGGGCCCTTCCGGCAGCACCTGGTAAATTCCAGCTGGGAAGCAGTGAAGGTAAATGCCTGCGGGGCCCAGACCCAGGGATTCAGGGCCCAGTCGGTTCCCTCTGCAGCTCTGAGAAATCCAGAGTACAGGGCCCTTAGTAGTCAGATCCACAAGGGCCGGGAATAAACAAATACTCGGGGCCCTGGGAGAAGGGCTGGCCTCTGGTCTTTGGGTTGTTCCTCGCCTGCCCCCAAGTGGCCCTTTTGGGCTAAAGGAATGTTCCTGGGAAGGCCAGGCAGGCTCAGCTGCTCTAAGGACTGGGTCCCTGTGGCCCCCACCCTTTCCAGCTATGGGGGTCTCAGGAAAGTCACTCCCCCACCCCCTGCCTCAGTTTCCCCATTAATGAAGTGGGGGAATAATAGTGAAATATAGTCAGGACTATACAGGATAGTTCTGACAAATAAAAGAGGTGAGTATGTAAAGCCAGTAAATATGAAAACCTGTAAAAGCAGCTTTTTAAAACATCATGCATCACACAAGGTAAGCACTTAATAATTGAATATTATTATAAACAACTGTATTTTTAAGAATGTAGCCAACCATTCCTGGGACAGTATACGGGAGGGGGTTCTCATCACTACAGGGGGTCACTTCTTCCCCCTGAGGCAACTGCCCCCCACCTGTCCTCACACAGCCGCTGCGATTTTATCCTTGACGGCCAACATCATGCCTCTGTTGGGTTAAGTCACAGGTGGAGGCTCGAGTCTATTCTCAGAGCTTCCTAGTCAAGCTGATAATGCAGCAAAGCCACTTGGAACCTTGCATCTATAGCCACCGTATCACTGATTTTCCAGCCTGTCCATGGAGATAGGGCAAGGATCTCACAACTCTTGGGATAATAATAACGAGCATCTCCCTGTCGTCTACAGGGACCTCACCTACTATAGCAACCAGCTCAGTGCCAACCGCTTCCCTGGCAACCACTTTGATGATGTGGATACTGACCTCTGAGGCTGATAACCTCAATTCACTTGAAGGACCCCTTTTCCATAATTTCTTACACCTTTTTTCCTTCAATCTGATGGTTCTTACAATAATGACGGGTGTTCCATCTCTGCACTTAGACTTGATGAAATCCATTGAGCCCTTTCTGGATTACAAGCTCAGTCAGCATGGGAAACATTCCAGGCTGTTTATCTTACTTTGTAGAGCCCAGACCAGAATCTTAAGAGCATTAGGGCTGTATTTGTGCAACCATAAATATGATGAACACACCAGAGAAAAGTACAGGAACAAACGTGACCCTGGAATTCACACAGGTTACTTAGGGCAGCAGAATGTAAGATCTGAGCTGAGATTCCATGGGCAAGCTTTACTTCCTTTTCATTCTGGGGATGGGCAGAGCTTTTGGGGACACACACACAGGAAAAGGAAGTGATTGGGCATGCCTCGCCTCACCTCCATCCTCACATCCACTCACATGAGAAGCATGTTTCACGTCTTGAAAAAATGTCAGCATTACATTAGGGATGCTACACCTGGGGTTTCAAAACCCACAGGGCCCTTGTGGGCCTGCAGGCTGACATCTATAATCATAGATAATTAGGCTGCACCCCTAACCAGCCTCTCTGGGGTGCTCCTGACTCTCCCAGCTTTGGGCCCCACCCCCTGGGCTCCAGTGCTCACACACTGCACCTTCTCTCTGCACAGGAAGGTGGCTGACATCCTGTCTTGCAGGCATTTAAAAAACATGTAGACACAGACTAATGAACCTGAAGGACCTATGGTGGTGAAATTTAAGGCACAGGGTTCCCCAGATATGGGGATATGGTTGGGGAGCTAGGAGATTCAACAGGGTAGCAGTCCGCAGATAGCACCCTGTCTTTTACCTTTCTTGGTAACTATGTTCTAAGAGCTCACAATCTGGAGACAGAAAGTCCTTTAGCAATTATGTATTAAGCAGCCAATCAATCAAAGTCAATTCATAAACTGGACATAACAGTCCTAAATCCAATTATTCCCTAAAGGCCCCACCTCTAAATACCATCACACTCGGGATTAGGGCTTCAACATATGGATTTGGGAGGAATTCATTCAGTCCACAGCTGGGACCATCTTGAAGATGAGCTACCATGAGCTACCATCACTCTTCAGAAGGGTTACCCCAACACCTATCCCAGTAGCCACAAATGGGAGTGCACGTTGCTTCATACATGCCCGACACCTTGCTGCTATGATTTTTAAAACCTTTGCCAGTTTGATTAGTTATCATGTTGTTAATATAAATCCTATTAAGCTGGCACTCTCAAATCAAGGTAAAGGTCAGTGAAAGGAGTGGTGTCATTAACTCAATTCCTTTGAGTTTCCTGACTGGTCACCTTTTAGGAACGGAAAACCACCTCAATAATAATGAACTGCATCTCTATGACTGGTAAAGTCTTCTAAACTTTTCATAGACGTGAATCCCAAGTGGTACAGCCCGACTACAGTCATGATCAGTATAGAGCACAGGTACCAGCTGCAATTTCTCCACATCCTTACCAACACTTGTCATTTCCTGTTTTTATCATAGTGGCCATCCTAACACATGTGAAGTTCTGTTTTTAGTCTATAAAGTTAAGAAAGAAATGAACTTTGACCAGTATTTCATAGCTAGACTGATGCTAGCCTTGCTCTGTATGTCCACAGGCCCCTGGACAGGCATGGTATATCCTGAGGGACAAGGAAACATGTCACCCTTGAGTCAAGAGACACTAAGGGGATAGAGTGGCCCTCCCTCTTTGATTCACTTAATTTATTACAAAGAATCTCAGCCCAGTTAATGGGTGTCAGGATTACATTATCCAGTTTTAAGTATACTGATCTTCAAATTATGATCAAGGTGTCTTCACCAATAGGATCTGCAAACCCACAGACAGAGGATAACATGAGTGATGCGGACCTGAGCAAACACACACAAACAGCCGAGTGACACTTCTGCCCTCTGCCTGAGCTGTGTGCCAGCCACGGTTTTATATAAAAACGGCAATCTGATAAGTTGGCCAACAAAGGATGGAATTAATAACCATAGGAAATACAGATTTAATCCACAAAATAACAATGATGCCTACTTGCCTCGAGACATTAAAACATCAGCTCGTGTATGTGTGCACACTAAAACCTTTTCTTATTAGGGCCATGTGACAAGAAATATTTGGAGACAACTGCTCCAGACAGAGGACTGGAAAGTATGGGGTCACTGTTTTTCATGGCTGGACTGGTTTCAGCTACCACCTGATGGATCCCAGATCCCATCCATCCCAGTAGATCAAGAGTAAACCATTATCACACCTTCTTCCACTGTCATTCCCTGGAGACACGCACAGGCCCACCAAGACCCTCAGCTACAGCCCAGCACAGGCACTGCAAGCAGGAGGTTCTGCATCCACATCTAGTTACTGGTGGAAGAATGTGGGAAAGAAGGAAAAAAGGAGGGTGGGAGATCTTTACACACATCTGTAAGCCTATTACTCACTCCTGATAATTCTCCAAGATCTGGTCAGAGGCCCCTCCGTGCAACCCTCTTGAGCTGTGACTCCACATGCCTGGTGTTGCTTAACCTTCACAGCAACCCTTATTACTACACTTGACAGACAGGGTAACTGAAGCTCAGCAAGTTTCAATAATTTGCCCAAACTCACACAGTCAGGAAAGGAAGAAAGGGGGTTTGGGCTCTTTCTCCTCTCTCCATTGCTCACCCTCAGGCTTGCACAGCCTGGGGCCCAGCACTGCCTTTCCAATCAGGGCTCCTGTCATCACTTTCTATTTCTAGTCTGTTTCTGCTCCAAGAATGTGACCCTCCAGGACATGCCAAGCCCTGAGCAGAGGACCGTACTGCAGGTGCTGGAGGAGTTTTTCTTGAATGACTAAATGAAGAAACGCATTCCTGCTTCCTGATGCCAGCTCCAAGCTCTCACTTCATAAGGGAAAGAACCAGACTTAAGAAAAACAGCAACTGTTTTGCAACACCAGTTGGTGCCACAGCCCCGGTAGATTTGAAAAAATTCTGAGAGCAACTGGTATATTTTTTCCTTCCTTTAATTCCCTCCGCTAAACTGCCATGTGTTCCTGGCGACCACATTTTGGAAGACACGGAAGCAGGAAGACGTGGGAGAAACAGGCAGAAGTCCCATGCCCTCACCCTGGCTTCCCCAGGACCTGGGCATTGATGGGGTTCATGCATTTTTGAAGGATTATGGCTCTGGCATGGGCACCAGTTCCCTGCTGAGCCTTGTCATTCCCCTGGTGAGAGCGACACTGTGGATGCCACTGTCAAGTGGGGAGGGACAGAGCATGTCAGGCTCTGTCCCTCCCCACTTGAGCTCAAAATGCTCTCAATTCTAGGTGAGACAGTGTGTCATTCTGGAAGGCACAGACCCCTGGCTCCCACTAGCTCTGCATAGAACCTATGTTTTCTTTGCTAAAACAACCAGCCTTTGTCAGCAGGAAGGGTGGTGGCAGCCAGTGGCCTGTGGTCTGCTGTGCAGAACGTTTCACTCACTGCTTCGGACAGGTCCAACTTGGCAAATTCTAATAAATGTCACCCTCAACAAATCCCTCTTACATGACTTTCTCAAATTAATGTGGGTTAATTATGAGCATGAATCCCTCAAACAAAGCTCCGGTTATGTGCCAGGCAGTGTGCTGGGCACCTATGGGTGAATCATCTCATTTAATATTTGTGAGAAACCCTCTGACTCTTAATTATCCCCATTTCATAGGTGAGAAAACTGAGGTGCACCAAGGTTAAATACCATCTTCGACACTGTGAAAGATGGCAGAGCCAGGTCTCAAACCCATCTTTCTGATCCCAAAGCCCCTTTTCCTGTGACACTACAGTTGGGATCTGGCTTGCAGATGGCTGCCTTCTGGCTGTGTCCTCACTCATCAAAGAACGAAAGGTTGTTTTCTTCCTTTCTCCATAAGAGCACTAATCCTATCACAGGGGGTGCACCCTCACGATCTCATCTAAACCTAATTACTTCCCAAAGGCCTCATCTCCAAATACCATATATTGAGGGTGAAGACTTCAACATATGGATTTTGTCAGGGACACATTTCAATCCATAGCACATGCCTTCC